GAGAAGGAAAGGCATTGGTCCGATCTATCCTCAACTTCGGACCTGGAGCAGGATCCTGGGTCTTTAGCTACTTCCCGTTGTCAGTTGTTGAGCTGGCACTTGACCCCAAGAGCTTTGCAAAGGGTTTCAACGGCCAGTCAAGAAGCCAGAAAGGTTGAACTGTACTCCTTCTCCCAGCCACGAAGTTATTGGAACCTGATATGCCATGCACGGTGCCATGCACGGTCGGTGCCATGCACGACGCCAAGCTTCCAGCTGGTTCTAGACACTATTGTATATAGCTGGAAACTGATACGTGCACCCTCAACTGCCCACTGGAGGTTCTCCCTCTATGATGTGCAGGGCTTCGAGGCAGGGGTGCTGGACCCGGCCGGTGTGCATGAGAACCCTTTCGACCCCTAAGGAGGAACAATCAACTAAGACATACTAATCAATTGGCAGAGCCTGGCTGGGCGGCCTCAGTACAAATGGACACTCCAATGCGGGTTGATAGGTGGTAGGTCTTCCAGCAATTGTCGAACGCAGAGGTACCAGAAGAGGCGTTCTGCGACCAAAACTGGAAGCCTCAAGCTGTGATTTCGTAAAAGGCTTTCTGAACAGAAGATCACAGCTTTCGAGGTTTGTGCCAAGGCTCCACTTTGGCAGTGAGCTTTGCCGCTGAGTTTTTGCCATAGCTGCAGGGTGGTGATTTCTGTGTTCAGCATGCGTGCTGTTGCCTTTCAACTAATTATATATATTTTTTTTTATTTGATTGGGAAACTAGTTGGTGAACTGGGTCCATGCAGCTCTGTATAGGGACCCCCAGAATTGTGTGTGGATTTTGTGGTCGTTTTTAAAGCAGGGCCCCCGTGGAACACAGGTCCCATGGCCTCGTCAAAGCTTCATTTGCTGCATTGGCCAATTTGAGATTTGACCTGGTGCTCAATTCAGGGAAATAGCATTGGTGAGTCATGTATGAAGAGCGGTTTCGTTGGACCTCTCCAAAATTCAGCCTCAGGCTAATGTCTTTTCGCCAACTCCTTTTCCGAGCGCAGAATCCCGAATATTTACTGCTTCACCATGCGTTTCTTCGAGGTCCTCGTGGCTGGGTTGGTGTTCATGGCGCGTCCGACGCTGTTCGGACGGTTCAGGCCTTGGCCTGGGCCAAGCGCCGCGGCCTGGCGATGGCCGCACGCTTGGAGCAGAGCCTGTTGTCGCCCTGGGAGGAACTGACGGAGTGAGAGAGAGAGGGGGGACCAAGACATACCAATACATTTAATGTAAAATATTTGGTTACTATGTATTTTTTTACGCGGCGCCGCCGAGAGAAAGCCCCTCCAGGGTCCCGGGGTGAATAGATTGGATTTGTAATTTTGACTAGCCTTTGACCAGATCATGGGGCGCTTTGGATTCAGATGGGACATGATTCGGGTGAGATATACAAAGTGCTTTCGCGGTTGCATCGTGCGAGTAGCAACTCTGACACGTATCAGATCAATGTTGCCTTTCAAACAAGTCTGAGTCTGCGAGACCACTAGGACATGAAGGAGTTTGGAAGAACAGTCAGTTTGCCAGAGTTCTATATTCCTGGGGTGGGCATGGGTGGGCGCCATTCTCCTGTGCAAAGAACTTGGGGTCATGATTTCGGTCATGATGCAGAGGCCCAAACAGTGGCTAGGAGGATCTAGGAGTGGTTCTTTCTACTTTTTGAGGAGCTATACCCATCAGCATCCATCAGCACTGGCTGAAATCCCAAAGATTCACTCATCCATAAACCAACCAACCAACTGCATGTTTGGAGTCAGAATCATCCGCAATAATTTTATATGCATATGTACAGTAAGTAGACCTACATTGTTATATATGTATATATATATATATACTACATATATTTGTATGCCTTCACCTGAGATTTGAGCCACGAGTCACGAGTCCTGTGCAGAAGCTCTCTCTCGGCAGCGCGCAGGATCCGCATGTGCTGAGCATCGCCAGGCGGGGGGGGCTTTCGCATCGACTGAAGGTTTTGTGGTGCAGGGGCGGTAGCTCTCATGCACTTTCGCCACTGCATGTTATTCTTTTTGGCCATCATGAAACGAGAAGGCAAATCAAGATTGCACACAATTATCTCATAGATTCAGAACTGGATTGGTGTGAGAGGGTGGTGTGAACAGCTGATCGCGCTCTCGTTGCTGTGGGACTGTGGGGGTGCCTTACATATACAGTAAAGACACACCCATCTTGGAGTCGATTTGAGTCGAGGGCACAACAAGGCATCTCAAGTGCTTCAAGGCTACGTGGTGATGAACAGAGTTGGGTTTTATCCCACCGTCTACCGTGAGCATGTCCCGTTTTTACCTCACGGTAGCGTCTCGGAAACCTGGGTGTGGACATAACCAACTAAACGATGCGGGATCCAACCATACAGCACCAGACGTGGCATCCAAGATCTATGGGTTGGGAGGCAACCATACATGAACTGCAACCAGGGCCCTCTTTGTCCGAACACTTCTCCACACGTTGCAAACCTTCCCGCAGCAACCCTTTCCGATTCCGTCATGGCATGAGACGCGGCGTCGAGGAGATGGAATCGCAGCTCTCAAGAATTGCTTTCCCGTTGGCTCCTGCAGCTGGGCTGTGCCATCGTGGCTCCGGCGTCGGCGGCCGAGGCGTGCGCGCGTGCGCGGTGGTAGACCATTCGCAACTGGTTCAAAAGCAGGTTCCTTTGCCAAATGGCCGCAGTTGTGCTGCATCTCACGACGTTTGGCAGGGGTAGTGATTAGGATTAGGACGTACTCGGACACTGTGACCACCGCAGTTCAGGATGTCACGGGACATCCTTCAACACCAGCAGTGCAGCTGCAAGAGCTGTGAACTCGAGGTCCGTTGGTGGAGGAGGTCTCCTCCAGGAAAAAGCACGACATATCAAAACACCAGATAACGTTCCTAAGTAGCCGTGGCCTTCCTTCTCCCACCTGGTACGGGGAATTTCTTCCATCCGTTGAGTAGGCTGCATGAGCACCCTGAGATGTGACCCGGCGCGTGGGTTTTCAGAATGCCAGGACCATGCAGGCGCTTTAAGCTTCCAGATGCCCGAGGCCGGAAAGAACCGAACTCGGAGGTGACGTCACCAACGGAGTCTGGAGTGGCCACTTTTCCATGGATGGTCCACGAAATCGAATACTCTTCCATATAGATCTATATGCTATATAGGTGCTATATAAATAGGTGTTTATATAGATCTTCCATATAGGTGTTTATATACTATATTGATCTATATAGGTGTTTAGATGTGTTTAGGGTGGATGCTTTTCAGACCTCAAACCTTCGAGTCGCCAGTCTGACAGGATGATTACATTCTGATCGGTGCCTTGCAATCCCTGTGAGTGTGGTAGCTGGGCAGCCACCAGCCAGATTTGGGAGGATTCCAGGTGGAACTGGGAGGCCTCCGTATTTCAACGGACCTTTTTCCACTTGAGGCTGAAGGCCATTTGGGCCTCCACTGTCCCCCCTTGTTTTGCAGGAAGACATGCGCCAGCTGGGCGGCCTCATCTCTCTCAGCAGCTCAGTGCCTGGCGTGGGTCCGCCTAGCTGGATGGAGGACGTCTATGGCCTAGCACGATTTGGGCCACCAGCCGTGTTGGGTGTGACAGGTGCGAACGGCGCAGACGTGGGTTGGTGGACCGAGTAGGGGCTGTGTTGGAACATGTTTGAACTGTCATTCCAGAGCATTCGGTGATCATGAAGTGTTCCCAAAGAACGATTTCCAATACCAATACCTCTTTACACATGGGTTAGCACATGCTAGTACAAAAGGAATGCGGGTAAATGAAGTGAGTAATCCCGTTTGGAGTGGCATACGGGTAGCATGACATCTCCAAAGCCGCATGGTCTTGCAATGGTCCTTCAATCAAGCAAAGGGAGCGATCGAAAGCAAAGCTGACCCGTGTGCTTCCCCGGTGTTGGAAAACAAAAGTGGGGTGACAAAACAATTACCATAAGCATCCATAAGCGCCGCCGCGAGCAAATTCTAACACAATTAGATCCATGCTCGCAAGAGCTATATCAGTTTGTTAACTCCAGCGTTACTGCAAGTAGACCTTTACACGCAATTAGACCTTGACTTGATTCAACGGCCAAATTTGAGGCAACAAAAGTGAGAGTCAGAGTCATTTTTGCAAGCCTTTCTGATATATTTTATTTTAAAATTTAAATATGTAACTAAATATATACTTATACACCAATAATATATGTATCATCCACCATGGTGTCTTGTGAGTTGCTTCATCCGCCTGAGTATTCCCCCCGCCCCTGGCCGCAGATGCTGCCCCAGTCCCCGAGCTGCACGGCTTCTCGAAGCCCTTCGCCTACCGCGCGCCCGTTGCAAAAGAAAACGGCCGACCCGCGCGGCGCCTGCGCGGCTCCCGTGGGGGCGAGCCATTTGGGGGCCGTTTGGGTCGCTGGAGAAGTGTCCGGGTGCGGCTGAACGGACTTCTCCCCGGAGGAATAGTTACATGCAGCCGATGGAGGTGACATAGGATGATGCATCCATGCAATTACACCAAGGTAACTACTCCAGTGCCGTGGATGGTTTGGGGCCCCTGAACTGCGAGCTTTCACGGGGACTGGGCACCAAAGAATTCTTGAAAAACCTGGAAGGGACTGGACATTTTGGGGTCACATAGTGCATGATGGACCTCTTGAACATGTTGGAGAGCAGGGCAGGGTCACTAGTATTGGTTTCGTGATGTTGTATGTTTTTTGTGGTGGTTTGTTGTGAATTCAGTCGCCGTTTGTTTTAGCCGCCATCCAGCACGCAAAACAACGATTCAATAGAACACGCAATAATTTGCAGATTTGGAAGAACCTCCCGTATATGGCTTTAGGATGCTTCAGTTTTTTATGGCAACTCGGAAATAGTTTCGCCTAATTTCTTTTTGGACATGCTTTTGTGGTGGCCCTTCCCGGCCTTTGGTTTCAAGATGTCTTCCTTCCACCATGGACTCGAATGATGGAAATGCCAGGTGCGTTGCCCAGCCACCGCCCCCTGCGCAGTGACGACCACCTCGAAGCCCCCGGCTCCGACAGCGACGCCGCACTGGGCCTATCCGGAATGGAGTTTTGGCTGCATTTTGAGATGGGGCATATGAAAGATACATATATATATATATATGCATACATACATACATATATATATATGTATATATATATATCTACACACCTCCCCAGAACGTCAACCCATGTAAGTAAGTCCCATAAACCGCCACTTGGGAATTGAGCGGCGCACCATGCCGAAGTGCTGCCAGAAACATATATCACGCCCGCGCTGCGGATGCCTGGACAGTGAGTGCGTGCACGAGAGAGAGACAGAGCCAGAGAGGAAGATAAAAGGCCTTGGCTGATGACACCATCCACCGCCCGATGATGTGGCCAGGAGGTGTGGCAACGAAGGCTCGGAAAGCCTTCCTTGGTCCACGCTTCAGGTGCCGCTTGGAGGTGTGGCAAGGAGGTGTGGCGCTGGCATTGCTGCAATAGTAGTCCGCCTGCCACTGGGGTCCTGTGCAGGGATTTGATCTTGACGTCATGGGATGCCGTCATCCCTCTCACAAGCTGGAGCGAGGAGGAGAGTACGTGGCCTGCACTGGAGCGTGTTGAAAAAGCAGGAGGTTTGCGAGGTTGGCAAGCGGCGGGTGTCGGGTGTCACAGGCATAGGCTTACCACGGCCACAGCGCGGCAGTTGAGTCTCCGCCCACCCAGTTCCGCGGTGAAGCGCCACGGCAGGGAGTTGACTTGGAGGCATTTGTTCCTGAGACCGACGAGAGGACGAGAACAAGAGACAAAGAGAAAGAGAAAAGAGAAAAGATAAAGAGAGAGAGAGAGAGAGAGAGTGGCCAATGCTAATCACCTTTTTGAGAAACCGTTGGGAGTTGATAAGATCGCCCTATCAGCATAGCCATCCCACCCAGTGGTGCCAGTCGGTCCCCGTTCGCTCCGGGGTCCCAGGCTGAACAGATTGGAGCCACATCCATGTCCATGCTAACTTGCCCGCAGTTGCTTTAGGGAGGCTGACTGTTGCAGAAACCGAATTGACTGCCTTGGCTCCCAAGCACTCTGAGGCCTCCCCATGATATTGACTGCGCAGCACGCGGCTGCGGCATGCGTCCGCCCGACCGCAAGCAGCGTTGGGGACGTGTGTCTTTGGTGCGTCCGAAATTGTTCATCCCCGCCGCCTCGAATCAAATACACGACACCAAGGGGGGGTGCTCAAAAGACTGACTTCTGCTTGCTGATGCAACGTGGAGGTGGCAGCCTTTGGTTTGAGGAGAGCCCCCTTAAGGTGTGACGTGCACGTTTTTCCGCCCATCGGCCCTCCAACCCCAAAAAGGGTCTCAGAAGAATTTGCTGCCTGCATGCGTGAGGTGAGAACTCGGGTCGTAGCAATATGCGAGAATCAAGATGTTTGACATTGTTTGACGTTTGTGCATGCTGCATGCTTAATGCTTATAGGAAGTTTCAGAGCCAACTTGAGATAGAGCAACTGAGCAATTGGTTGAATTGAATTTGTTGCTCATCGTTGCTCATGCAAGATTGAAGACCTGCTCACTTCACCATGTTTGGTCAGATTCCATCCCAGCAGGTCTTACCAACCAGTAAAACTACATAAACGAAGGTTGTAGAATGTTATATATTCACGCTGCACACACCTTTGATTGAACAAGTCAATCCAGGTGAGCTCGCGGAGACGCGTGGCGTCCAATGCGAGGGCGCGGAGGCCGCGCCGCTGCCACAGTCGCGCTGTACAGGCGTGGCGAGTCGTCCATCAAAGCGCGGAAGCCGCTTGAGACTCTGCGAGGCTGTTTGGCTGTGTCACAAATAGCGAATATAACATGATATAATATGAGACTTCAATGTACTCATGAAGGAACATGATGGAACATGTCAACCTTCGTCCATCTCGATTCCGTAGGGACATGTCTTTCTCCCTCCCATGTCGACGAGATCGCATGTCACACACACACACACACGGTACGGGTTTCGGGAACCGTTCTACGGTGGTTTCAGAGTCGATGGCGCAGTCTCCCGGAGGGGGTTGCCATGTGGCAGTGCCATCTACCAGGAATCCACTGAGCCACTGTGGGTAGCAACAGACAGGAGTCCGCCCAAAGAGCCAAACCCTGCCAGGTCTTAAGCCCTTGGAGCGCCGCGTCATTTGCCCTGCCACCCCGCCGTGCGCTGCTCGAAGCACCTGGTGGATGGATTTGGGAGGTCTCCATGGTGTGTGAGGGGGTAGGAAACGCATGGAAACGTGTATGCTGTACGTTGGGAGGTCCCAGCCATGGTTGCCGAACATTTGGAGATACCTATATGCTTCTAGCGAAGCAGCATCTCTTGTTTGCCTTCTGTTTTCTGTAAGGAGACCAGCGCTGCAGCACCAGCGACCACGTTGGCACCAACCACCACTCTGGCGCCGATGACCACTTCCGCTACGTTGCCTGCAACAGAAGCAGCGAAGGTGCGAACACTAGACATTGGCCGCACGCAGACCACAAGAGCACCAGCTCAGATGTTGGGCCCTTTCATGCCCTTTTCCAAACTTCTTTGTCCTTTTGGTCAATCTTTTTCACCTGTTGGCACTAAGCAGTCGGTTGGCCAAGCGGCAAGTTGGGGAAGACCCGCAGTTCCTTTTGGGATATAATATATATTTATATTATATATATTATATAGATGTGTTATATATTATAGCTGTATATACCAATTTGAGGCGAGCAACTTAATCGTAGACCTCCACCACCTGCGGAAGCCCCCCAAATTGGAGGGTGCGGCTTGCGTTTGCTGGTTCAGGTGAGTGTGAAAAGCGGCATGTCTCATGAAAGGTTCATACAAAGCAACGGAGGGGTAACAGAATGGTTTCTGCTGGTCAAGGCCGAGAATAGCATACGACGTGCATGCAGAAGCTGAAAAAGGCATGCAGGGACAAGTGCAATATTCTTTAGATTCTTCCATTTGCTGAGACCTTTGATTCAATTAGAGGCCATGTTTCTTTGGCCGGCAGGTGGGCTCATGGGTTGCGCCAGCATGGACCCTGAGCTGAGTTGGCGGAGGGGTTTGCTGTCGTTGACTTTAGTTTGGGGATGAAACTGGGTCACCCAGCCATCCATATCAGGAATAAGTTGTCGTGAAGATGCTGTCTACATAGCTTCCAAGAGATGCTTTGAGGGAGGGAGGAATTCCGTGCATCTCAGAGCGAATGCCCTTCGACTTGCGGCACCTTCGGCACCTGGTCAGGCCCGAACCCAACTTCATCCAATTCTGTATAAGATATTCACACCAATTCGTTGGCCAACGTGTTGTTTTGAGAAAAACCCTTGAATTCCCCATCCGACGGCTTTGGTGAAGGCAGGATCGTCCGACGTCAGAAGTCGTGTTTGCGTCCGACATCCGGACTCCTTTCTCACCCTGATCAACATGCATGTTAACGAACGAAAGGACACCAAGTGCCTTCAAAAGGATGATTACAATTGCATAAGAGATGATAAAAGCGTTTTATTCATATGCTGGAATGCTCCAGACCCTGTCAAATGATTGGGAACTCACATAGAACGATCCACCATGTAGCAATACATTGAAATCATTGGCAAAGATAGGGAAACCACAAATTTGACGGTGTAGGATATAGCCGCACATAGTACGCATAGTAACTTTGTTTGTATCATACCTCATATTATGCGCTTTCCAACGTCCATTGGACAGACAATTCAGCATCCCACCATTCCCAGACCCAGCCCAGTCTACCCAGAGAACATCATTTGTACCGCGCATCCAACATCAATCAGCTTGATGTGAAAAACCCTGCAGGAGTATTCAATGCACTGCTGCAGTGGATTCCGATTCCATGACTCTTTTACGTACACTATCATACAGTAATTATATGCAATTGCTGGTGTCCACACACTATCAGACACCCGAAGCCTCAAGACTCTTCAGAAAACGAAAGCAACAATTCGACCATGTGTCATTGCACTTTGGCGCCGCGTCCTGACCCTTCCCATGACATTCCGCCTTCCGGTTCCTCCGAGGAGCACACCTGATTGTGCCCGACGATGCTGCGGTTTGGGCCCTTTGGGTGGCAAAGATGGCGGTTTTGGACAGGGATCGAACGGAACATCTTGGTGTGTTCACATTCTCATTCTCATCTCTATGAGCCTATGAAGAATTTTGTTTTAAAGAGCGAAGTGCAATGCTTTGCGTAGGTCAAGGGGAATAAATGTGTTCCAATGACACACGCCCGGTTGCAGCACAATGGCCCAGGTGAGCTCACAGAAGAGCGCTCGGTGCTTTGCATGGACTGCAATGGGCGCTTGCTGCCGGAATGCAGCTGCTCAGGCATGCGCGTGTTTCGTCTACATGACAGATTCAGATCTCATACCTTCACGGTTTGCTAGGCCTAGGCTATGTTTGGGAAGGGGTGGCCCATGGGACCGTTCTGCCCAGTGGTGAACAAGTTTGGTTTTCGAAGCTGGCCAATGGGGTTGCATGCTCAATCAACTAGGACAGCCAACCGCTTACATGCGCCCGGGAGCAGAAACCTCTTAACTACTTGTTCAAGCATGCTGAAGCTGGTTTATCAACTTGCTCACTTGACTTTTAGACTTAAAGGTGGGATCTTGTGGGGGTATCCTACAGTCTGATTTCCACCGATTGCCTCATTCAGCTGATGTAGCTGAGCGAACAGTCATTCGGTCTGAGATGGAATGTACTTGTATGAACCCCCACAGCGATGGTTGGAGACGTCTTTCATGGGAAAGCTCACCCGGCCGGACACGTCTTCACCGTTCGGGCGTCTCCGTAGACATGTCTCCGTGGAATCCTGCCGCCTTGCTGTCGATTCCCCGTCGTGCCCCTAAGATAGACATGGAATAGCTTGCGCCTCCCTTTTTCGGCCCCCGATGACCCGGTCAGAACTGACGTGAGTGTTCAGCACAGAACGTCCAAGTCCAGCCTCAGGCGTGCATGCTGTTTTGTGTTTTGTGCTCGCCTGCGGCTTTACACAAACCTCAAACTGCCCAGTTCAGATCTCCAAGAAAACCAGCTCACCCATACCCCAACTTGGTGGAAGAACATGATCCAAGCTCCACATCAGCCCACACACCTCGCAGTCTCCCCAAAACGGCGGCCCACAAACCGCTGCCTTTGTCACACCGCAACGGTGCTCCTCGCGCGCCCCATGCATCCGCGCTTGGACCTTGGTCATGTTCCGCTGGATGACTTTGAGACTTACAAGAACCACCCGGCTTTCTTGCAAAGCACCAGCAGCTCGGTTCTGCCCTTCATGCTTTGATGATGATCACCACGTGATGTTTGTCTAGGCAAGGATCAACATGAGAATTAGTCAAGGAATACATGCCAGAACATGCCGGAATGACATGCCTACGGGGACTACACTGCACAGATGACAGAGTCTCCAGGTTCTTTCGAGGCGTCCTATCGGCAAACACCAGTGTAGACACCTGTGTATACCATCCCTTGCGCGGCAGAAGGAAAACAGCAAGACACTGAGGAGTTCTCCTGCATCCACTGGTGTTTGGTCAGTGTCCCTCCATGTCCCTCCCCTACTGTAGCAGTTCACTGATCTTTATGATGTTCAAGGATCTTGGACATAGAGATACCTCCGGTGACTGTCTCATGGTCGACTGGAGCTGTATCTCTATGTACCATCGAGGCCTCGACACCGAGGCGTCTTCCCCTTGGACCTCGAGGACGATCCGTCGATGGACACCTTCGAAGTGATTGGCCAACTCGAGGCGGAGGCACTGGCGCGTGCAGATGCTGGCAAGCTTCTGCTGCTCTTTGGCGGTGCTTTAGCAACTGGGCAGTTGTCACAGACTTGCATGAATGATGTAGCATGTGTGAAGCTGTAGGGTGTGATATGCAACAGGGAGAGAGATAGAGAGAGAGGCGGCATTCTTGAGTTGCCACACACACAGATTATGTAATCTATATATATATATATACACATGACATGTCATATGATATATATTTAACATATATATATATATACAGTAGTATATTATATGTATATACCTGTGCACACGCCGCACCCCACAGTCCAGAGCCTTACTTGAAGCCTTTGAACTTCCACGTGCCTTTGCCGCGAATGTCGGAGCTTCTCAAGGCGGTGACCTACGCGGGTGCGCAGGTCATCACCAAGCCGCTCAGCCAAGGTCGAATGGCAAGGAATCGATCATCTATAGACGCTTGATTCATCAGTTCCATCACGTCCATATGAAATCATTTTGAAGAGCCAAATTCAAATGGGGCGGGCTTTGGGAATTTTGGGGCGGAACGTCCCCATGAGTTCACCAAATCCATCTGATCGATGGATTCCCGGATTCCAAGCTTCACATCCAGCACTGAAAGGGATGTTCTCGGGTGACAATTTCAAGAAACGCTTCCACTTCAAGATGATTTACAGTAATAAATCTTCCCATTGCAAATTGGACGAATGCATCGGTTTCTCAAACTGGTTCATTGAGATTTCATTGAGATTCAGAGCCCTGGTTGATTTGCCCAGGTAGGCCAATCAAATTTAAACATGTACAAGAGCAACTTGACGAGTCTTGAATGCGAGTAGGTTTGGATGAAACTACTTGACACATCTTGGCACCTTTATCGCTTGGCACAGTGCGCTTCGCAGATGTGGGCTTGGGTTTTGATTGAGGAGAAAGACACTGGGGTTGAGATGGTCAGGAACTTGCAAATGCTCCTTCTTTGATGTTCATTACAAGTCCAACTTCCAAGTTCACGGCCTCGAATCCTCTGCCTCCAATGCCTGACCCTTTTCGTTCACGCCTAGATGATTCTTTCACCCACATGGGACACAGCTCCACCGGGTCAAGGTCTTCTCCACCTTGGTTGACCCTAATTCTCCTCTCTCCTCGGGGCCCTAGGCACCTCAGCGCCGAAGCGCCGCAAAAATCCATTGCCTTCCGAGCACCGGTGGCGTCCATGGCCAAAGCCCACGACCACGGCCGCGTCGTGGTGACTCTCCACGCCACGACGGAGGAGGCTCCGCGCTGTGCAGTCGCTTCGGACCGCAGGGGAGCGATGGTGTGGCTGTGGAGGCTGTGATTGGGGCGTGGTTTCGGGTTAAGTTGGGGGTTAGGTGGGAGAGCTGTTTCGTTTGAACTTGAATGGACCGGAGCAAGGCCCTGAAGCCACAAGCGCAAGGAATAAGCAATGACTTGTCCATCAAAGCAGGGATTCCGTCCACTGGTTGGGTCCAAGGTCCCTGCAAACCACGGAGTGAGGCTTTAGTGCTGAGCATTGCAGAGGATGGTACGTGCCGTGTGGTTCACGAGACCTCTTTACCTGGGCAGCGGCTCTTCCTGAGCACGGCCCTTTCAACGGAGAAGACAGCGAAGGTTGTGGCCTATCGACCTGTACCGCAGCTGCGCTGATGAATTTACTGTTTGTTTGTAGCCCAGGCTAGCCGGGCAGCATTCATTACCAAGCTTGTGTGCTGCCGTTTGCTTTCATGGGATCATGTTATGATGAAGTCATGAGGTAAGTATAACAAGTTCGCCAACCACACCAGAAGATCACCAGAGAAAAGTAGGGTGCCACTCTGAGTCTGGTGTCTACACCCCTTTCAGGATTAACATGGATTACAGTAACGTGTTCGTCGGTTCCACCAAGTCATTTTGGTTCGGATGATTGTTTCATGCAAACCTGCTATGTGACCAAGTGTCCGACAACCCAGGTGCGAGAGGCCTCTCAAAGTTACATCGAGCTTCTGGCGGTGCAAATGGAGCTGGCCGAGCTAGAACTAAGTCCAGAAGCAAAGATCTTGTGGACGGTGCTTGTGCTTGGAGTTTGCGTGGGGAGGATTTGGGCATGCATGTGGATGCTTTGGGCCTTCCTCGCGGGCACCCTTGGCGGATGTCGGCCGTGCCTGCCAGTCTATAGGGCTGGGCCGATGAAGGGGATTCTTTCGGATAGGTCGTTTTTTCGGCGCGGGCCAGAAGAGAGGCGACAAACGACAAGGACGTCCTGAAGGATTTAACTTTTAACTTAACAAGGAAGCTAAAAGCCGCTGCGTTGTATATAGAGGAATTTCATCTTCAAAAGGTCCACTTTCCATGTTAATCTTCCCGGTGTAGAAGAAGGTGTGTGGGGAAGGCGGCCGTCCTCAAAATGCATCACCAAATATCACCAACAAACTAGAGGCTTCGAGACATTTTTCGAGTCTGTGTACGGTGGATATGCCGTGGATGAGCAAGTGCTAGTATAGAGACAGTGTTTTCGAAACGAGGATCGTTTCTCTGAGCATTGGCCAGCAGAACCCAGCTCAGCCGGCCCCTATCACGGGTGCAACGGGTTACAGCGGTATATACAGGATGTGGAAGGTGCCGATGTGACGGTCCATCGGGTCCACAGGAGGGCCATGTGGGTGACGCCAGAGACGGGGCATGAGGCGCGTGGGCCACATGCGCCTGTTGCTGTGCACTGGGCCTCTGACCAGGAGATCTTGGGCAATTGGCACCGGTGGAGTTAGATGGAACCCCCCCTATTCACCTATGAAGATGCAAATTGCCTGCCTACCAGGTTCATGGAGAGAAAATGTTGTGGAAAAAGATCAGTTGATACTGGTCAACCTGATAGACTTAAAGACTTTAAGACTTTAAACCTTCCAATGCACGAGGACATGGTGTTACTTACTTCACTGGCTCCGACTGGCGGGGGGGGTTCGTGGGAGCTTTTGTGATCTCCAGGACGTCCTCATCATCTCAAGTGGTAGCTTTCAGCTCAGTAGCAGCCCGGTGCCCTCCGAGACAGAGCACCCAGCGACTTGGCAGCTTGGATGAGGGGACAGATTGCGGTGCAGAGGTTTGGTCGTGCAAGATGAAGATTGCCATAATATATTATATGGGGTTGCAGGATAGTATTGCAGGCAGACATATCTAGAATCAGAATCAGCGTTTCTGGGTGGGTTTGCTAAAAAGAAACTGAAAGGGGATGGCCATGGATGGCCCATGGGGAAAGATCTTTGCCCTCTCCTTCCACGTGAGTTTTAGTATGTTTTGTTGTTGGATCGTGTTGGCGAGTTCACTAATCATTTAGAGGACCAAGCTGTCCAAGCTGTCTCACCTTGAAATCCTTGGAGGTGCTGACGAATGATGGGAACTGGAAAAGCAAGACTGGTAGAGAAAGGAGTTGAAAGAAGATTGATCAGTTTGATATATATACTATGAGTAAGCATGCATACATGAATATATGAACGTGGTCAGTGGTCATTCTAAACTGGTCATTCTCAAGGGTTCTTTGGGATACCTTTGGAACATTGGTTAATGCTTGGTGTGGGAAGACTTTGGTGAGGTGAGCAGCACCAGCACCTTCTAAAGGGGTGGATGGCCACAGCGGTACCAGCGGAAGACACGATCTCCGCAAGCTTGTTGAGTGGGATTGAAGCACCACCTTGCTCAGGACGGCGCGCTTTAGGGGATCAATGGGTAGGGGATGGTAGGGCAAGTGAGGTGTGTTGTTCTTGTGTGTATCTATACCATGTATATATATGGTTAGAATATGTTAAGGCATACACGGCAAATGGTCGGCCAAAAAGGGGTGAACTGTTGGACATCATTCGAGCAGGTCTAGGTCACGCCCGCGTTTCAGCAACAACGACCTGTATGTTTTTAACTTTTATATATGCATACGACCTCAAACAGTGTCAGATAGTGTCACCATGATCTTTAAACATCAACTCATGGAATTATTGTTGTTGCGAGCTTGGGCAATTACTGTATATACCTAATATAGAGCCTATAGCCTCCAGCTGTTTGGGAACGGCACGTAAGCAAACAATGATTGAAAACAACAGTTCCTGATGCCTGGGTCACATGTGAAAAGCGAAGGGATACGTGTCATGAGAAAATTCGAGGATTATACTGAATTTGAAACACGGCATCCCGGCATCACTGTTGCGTTCGTAGCCACACGAAAACATACCTGGACAGTGACAAGGCGGTGGATAAAGAAAAAGCGGTGTTGCCAAGCAGCGGGCAAGGCCCCGACCAGGCTGTGGTACTGTAAAAGGGCCGAAAACGTGAACAAGCAGGACACACAGACCCGGACAAGGCGGCGTGGCCAACAGAACAGACAAAGCCTGGACTGGACAATGACAACGTGAATTGCTTTTGGAGAACGGAGGGTTTGCCAGCGCGGCCAAAGAACAGCAGGAGGGCACCAAGAAGACAAGAAGGGGGCACAGGCCCGGACAGGAAGAGGACAACAGGAGGGGAACACCCACAAGCACCAGGACAAGAGGAGGACACGGCTTTGGCCAGCGTGGCCAGAAGACAGCAGCAGGACAGCAGCAGGACAACAGCACGCACCAGGAGGACAAGAGGAGGACACGGCCGGCCCAGCACGGCCAGAAGACAACTGCCCCAGCACCAGGAGGACAAGAGGAGGAGAAGCCCCGGACACAGCATTCAAGGGCACGGCCAGCTACTGCGGCCAGCTCTGTTTCTCCTAGCAGTAAATTGCTTGGGGAACAACATGCTTTTGTCAGTGTTGACCAGTTTGTTCCCCCCAGGTGCTCAGCATCTTCCACGACAACCAGGTGGAGCATTGGCCCCTGCCACCTGGCGAGCTGTTGGCGGCCTGGACCTCGACCGCTGGTCTTCATGTCGCCCCCTGGCAATTTGACCGTGGAACGACTCTCATGATTCTCATGGCACCTGAGTGGGCGTTCACAGCCATTGATTGTTGGGGGATGTTGGGGGATAGGTTTCCAGAACTCAAGATTAAAACAGGATGGTAAAAGGTGCCAAAAGGGCCTGAAGCTTCCATATCGGACTTTCCGGAAGCTGAAGCTGGTCGGTCTGGTGCGTCGGGAGCATCATGTCGTCATTGTGTTCTGAGTAGTGGAGACACGAAGAGAAGTGGGATTCCAAGTTTTCAGACAAAGGAAACAACCTCATCCGCCTTGTCAACCATCAAAGGCAGAAACCTCATGTGCGAGACGGGTGCGGTGCCTGAAACTGGAGATTTTGATGAACATTCCTGAGATGTGAACATGTGTACACTCATTGGGGCTGATTGCTTGGGTGCCGAGACATTGAGTGGTCTACCTGAGAAGCACTTCACGTCAGGAACAAGGCATGAAACAAATCAATACAAATCATCCGTGTTTAGTGCGTGTGGCCCGCCAGGCTTTGGCAGAGCCTATGGGTGGAGCACTGATTTTCCAGCTCGTTGCACATCCTCCAGAGCCCCGCAATATCACAGCGCTACCGGGCGCGGGCGCCTGTGCCGCCGCACGTGCCTGTGGCACCAGCGCGGGGGCACGGCTGGTGGTGGCACCTGAGTTCTTTGCGCTGGTGGAGGTAGATCAGCGAGGAGTAGCTTGGTTTGGCGAGGCCACGGACGAGCGGACATGGGAACCGCAGATGTTTGATGATTATTGACATTGATGATTCTGGCGCTGTCAGTCATGTTCTCCTGGTACTGTACTTGTTTGATCTTATTTGGCTTAACATCTTTATGTTTTTGGGATTCTTTCGGATGTCTTTGGGTTGTTTTTTGGTTAACGCCTGTGTTGACGAGAGTTGGTCGATAAAGAGGGTGTCCCGCCCTTCTCCACCATTATGGTTATGGCAGAACGAACCTTGAGATCTTTCTTATCACATCGATCACAAGAATCCAGGGTTCCTTCAGCCCCATTATGTTCAATTCTTTAATTTTTTTAACACCGCCTTCATCCAGGTCTCGCTCCGCTCCGCTCAGGTCTCGCTTTACCGAAACCCTCAGGGCACCCGGGTGGCTCCCTTGGCCTCGCTGGCCGTGCTCGACCCTCCGGTGCTGGGCCTGGCCATCGCCGCCCAGGACGCTCTGGTGCTGCGCAGCGCCCAGAGCAGCCGGGCTGGCAGAGCCGGGCAGTGTGGGAACTGAAGAGGCTGGAGACACCCAAGGCCTCGACAGGATCAGACACATTTTGCCAAGAATATGTTGGTCCTTTGGTCCGCCATAGGGCTGGCATGCTGAGAAAACCTTGGGAGCTCTCGAAAACCATGGGAGCTCCCTCGAAACTATGGGTCACGGGCTTTGTGAAGCCGAAAGCTATGTTCCATCGCACCCACCAGTAAGGTTGATTCCTAGCCTTCCAAGGCATCATCCACTGCACCATAGACCTGGCGGTGAAAGTCGAAGTGGTGAAGCGAAACTTGATGCATGGGGGTGGGTTTTGGCCTCTAATCATCTTGAGAGCGTTGAGAGTGCCGTTGATTTCGTCAGATCATGAGTGGTGCATTGATAAAACTCCTGCGCCCCAAGTTGAAGACGGGCCAGAGACAGGCACTGGGTGGCACAAATGGAAGGTCGTTTGAAACTTGAAGGCCCACCAACAATTCTGGAGGTAAATATATACAACACAACAGAACTAAGAAAATCTAATGTTTGTTGGAGGACAAACATTTGATTTTGCAATCTAAATCTATACAACAACCGAACACCACCTGCTTTGGAGCAGTTCCTGGACCAATCCTTGTCCGAGGACCACTCATCTCGCGGGAGCAGATGCCCTTGGGAATGGACCCGGAAGCGCTGCTGAAGATGTTGGATGCCAGGGGCGAAGATTAGATCTCTGTAGCTATTAGCTCACCTGAGCCGAGTGACATCCGATGAGGTGACAAGTCGTACGACGTAGAGGGCAGCATCCTTCGCACATCTTGAACTGCAAAAAACAGAGTTCCAAAGATGGATTTGCTGGATTCGGCTGAGGCTGTTCGTCGATTGAAGATGGTTGCACTGATTTTTGAAGATCCTGAAGATCCTTCCTGAGCTCAGACAAGGTTCTATTATAAAACAGAAAGGGAGTTCCATGGGGTTCCATTGGCCATGATTGAAAGCTGAGGTGGTGTAGGTGTGGGTGGATCACACCCATTTGGAGGTTGGCGTCCTGGGTTGACAAAAGCATACAAAAGCTACTGAAAAACAAGGTTGCCAGGTGAGCTGCGCAGTTGGCTTCCTCCCATTCACTGCCCAGCACGGATCGGTGTCCAACATGGATCGCACCGATCTCCACGATCGATCGCGGTGAAAAGGGTGGCTCAAATCGTGCGTTGTGTGGATTTCCCGGGGGCCTTTGATCATCCATTTGGTTGCCACATGCATCCAAGATGCAATAGGAGCAACGCCTCTTCGCCAATTCCAAAGAAATAAATTGCAATTTCAGTATGGCCAGTACCGTAAGGGTTCTCCTTTTGATCCCGGCGCCCTCACCTACCACCTGCTCCAAATCCAAACCGCTGAACTTCCGTGAGGGTTCATCCCCACTTGCGACACGAACAGTGGAGACAGACCAGGATAGATAGACGATGAAGAACACGGCGATCCTTGCTTCAAATCCCAATCAGATTAATTGATAATTGATCACATCATATCACATCACAGCTCTATACATTCTATACAAGCCACCACTTGGGATATGACCCCTGAATCTTTCCAACATTTCTACAGTGGCTAACCTGGATGGGCAGGTCACCCACCTGGATCACCTGCTCCAGACCTTGCTCCGTCGTGACTTGTTCCACCAACCCTGCAGGTCCCAAGCCAGCGACCTCCACCGTCTTGTGTGCCCGGACATCGCCTTGTGCCGCTCGGACACGCCGGTACAGGGTCGTACCGGGTCGCACCGGGTCACGGGTCGCTCGCCGATCGGATCGCCCAGGCAAAGCACAGTTGAAGAATGTTGCGCATGTTGAGTGATAAGCGTAGGTGTGTACAGTGTTCAGATTTGTAGTTATAGTCATTGCGCCTCTTGTGGTTGTTTGCTGGCCATGTGGGTGCTCGAACAACCTCTCCAGTTGATGCAGGAGCCGGCAAGGGTAGAAGATCCTGAGATCGTCCGCACCACGCCCAACATTCCAGGTTGTACGCGTTATGTGCGACAAGCCATGGTAACCAGCGGAGTTAAGAGAGAGCTTACGGCTCGCATCTGGTGTGTGTTGAGAAGGAGTGCTTCTAGATCAAAGGTTGGAGAAGAACTTGAGGGTCCTCGAGCAATTATGCGCTTACAACCGTTCTGATTGGGAAATTGCTTTGCCAACAGTGCAGCATTTGCCGTGAACTGTCTCGGGCTGCCAAGGGCGCTGCGACCGTGCCTGCTGTGGCGCCCACGGTTGTACCGACAACAGCTGCGCCTGTGACAACACAGGCCCGAGTGCTAGCTGCACCCGGTGTCGAGCGGCAATTCTGGCCTAGATAGGCTCATGACAACCATGTTTATCATGAGACAGAAGAGGCCGATTGTGGACAGCATATGTCATTTGATTGAGACTTGTGATGTGCAAATTTTTCAAGACAGGCAATGAGTTACCGTAACATACTGTAACTAAGTTGACACAGCGTTCAAAGGCATCCTCAAATCCACGCGACCATCGCAACGTTGAAGGCTGGGCCATCTCCAGTGTGGGCCTATGTTGAATGGCCACTTGGAGATGGCGATGGAATCAAGAGACATCAGGTGTTTGAGTGCGCTTGTTTCAAAGAATTGCTAAGAGAAACCTTGTAAACACCGACGGACCGTTTTGACCTCCTTGGAGTGGTCGACCTGCTCATCGCCCCACCTGGTGCGCCGGCCGGCGTGCATCGCCGCACCGGTGTTGATGGAGAGCCAATGGTCCACAAGCTTATGACCATTTTAGTCCATTTGATGACCCGCCAACAGGTCTGACTTTGGGATTTGTTTCTCAAAAGGTTTCAGTTTTTGTTGGGATTCTTTTGTTGGTGTTCGATTCTGGGATTCTTTCTTCATTTGATTCCTGGGATTCCGGTTTCGCTCATGTCCTTCGCACATGAGTTTCGGTCTCACACAGGACCAGGACGGCATACGGAAAGCGAACCGGCATGAGCATGTGTGGCAGATTTTGTTGTCCACTTGCTATTGCATGTTGAGGGCAGGAAAACCCACGTGGCTTTTGTTTGATGTTTGGAATCTCACATGTGGTTGCGCTCATTCGTGGCAGGGTGTCAATTTTTAATTCAGAGTCACTCCGGGTTGATAGAAATACTACATTCTCGGAGGGAAGTTGCTTCTCTATCTATTTTGTAATTCATCTACGTTAGCTATTCCTTTGCTCCACCTGGCAGCTGAGGACTGTTGACAGCACCAATTGCAGTGCACGCAGCTGTGGACTAGGCAAGTTGGGTCAGGAAGTGGCTTGCCCTTAGCTTCTTGTTACTAATAGCTATTTGCTCTCAGTAGTACGGCCAGGAGCTCCTAGTAGCGTCCTTGTTCCTAGTAGCGATGCCAGGAGCCCCTAGTAGCGTCCTTGCTCCTAACGACAACACGTTCCCACCTAGGAATCCTAGGAAGGGAGCTGATTGTTCGTTCCATCAGACCATATCTTCCTGGGGTTGCTACACTCGACCTAGACCTAGCACTTTTTCTCAGTCACCCCTTCCGATTACTGGTAGGGCGACGACAGCAGATTTTTTTTTTGCAAAAAAACATGGTTTCCTTCAAGACAGCACCAGTGAGGCGGGGCTTGGCATGGCTTGTCCCTCTTCACGTTTGCACATGTGACCGCTCCATGGTAAGTCGAAGTTGCCACGACCAATCCAGGTGCTGTGGTGCAGGAACGTGCTGTGCTGTGCAACGACCTTGTGACGGGACAGCAGCTGGCCGACAGCAGCTGTCTAGGTGGGACGGGTGGTGGACGAAAAGGGGCGAGACCTGAGATGTTTTTTCCACGTCGGATTCTGGCCCATTGGTTCATTTCAAGCCAGATGTTCTTAGGCCCTCCATGCGAACGCACGCGAACGCCGACATCATCGCGGCGTTCGTGCGGTCTCCAGGCTTGAAGCCACCCACCAAGCGGACCATTTGCCCTGCGACTGCACCCTGCGTCAAGGCCCGGCGTTGCAGCGCGTTGGTGCGGGAACGGAGGATGAACAGTCGACTTGAGCAGTGTAAGGCATACACCACATCATCCACATCACCAGGTGAAAAGCACATACCATTCACAATTGAGCCCGGAATATCTCAAGGTCTAAGGATGGCTTCGGAATCTCAATTGGATGATGTTGGATGCATGAAGGCCCGACTGAGGAAAGTGCAAGCGACAGTAGAAGTGGGATCCGTACCCGGGTGAGCGCTGTTGTTGTCCGTTGGAGCTTTCTTTTTTCCTGGATGTTTGGCCAAGCTTGAAGGAAGTTCTTGTGATGAGATCGGCTTGCATGGTTCAAGCGATCGGAGATGTAATATATTATTAGTAACGCAACCAATTAATTACATTACCATCATAATTAGGTGTATGTAGTTGTGTATATATATATACAATTGACAATACGCATTGTTTTCTTAGGACCACAGCCACGCGAGGGCTGGGGAAAGTCCCACAAATGTTCGTTTCATGGAACCCAACTCTTTTAGGAGATTTTGCTTCGGAAAGCTTCCCAAGCGAAGCTGCCACCACCCAATGCCCCAGAAGCGAAGCTGCAGTCATTCAGTGGGACGGGACGAGCGACGCACCAGGTCGAGATCACGGACGCATGGACCTGCTGTCCACGAGGCGACGCGACTTCAATCTGTGCTGATCGTTTCACTTCGTGCAACGCTTCTCCAAGCTTGGCCCCAAGGTTTTCTGGAGACATCCTAGTTGTTCTTAAGCCGGATTTTGCAATGCAGTACCACAACATCTGAAACAAAGACCTGAGCGCCCAAGCCTGTGGACATTGCTTATGGCGGGGTATAAATCAATCGAAAGAATCGTAGAGACAATTCAGGGGGGTCTTGATCAACTTTCAACACTTCCGTTTTTACTTTGCACGGTCACTGTCAGATGCAAACTCCCAGCAGTTTTAATGTGTCACATTTTATCATACACCTCATGTGCCAGGCTATGCCCTGAAGAAGCCAGAGGATTTGCCAACCACTTGTCAGCAAGGCAGCTGTGAGGCGGAACTGCCGGGGAAAGGGCTTCTCACGGAACCCGGAACTCGCGGTTTCTGTGGTGTTTGGTGTTTGGAAGGTTTCGAGAGGTTTGGGGTACCTCTCAGCGGTCTCATCACCACGATACCTCCCAAAAAATTGGGAAGGCATGGTCAGAGACAAGTTTTTTGTGGTTGGAGGTTGGGGAACTGCAGAATGTATATTATCTATCTATCTATATACTTGCCGCATGGCACCAAGCCAGCCCCCCCCAAGAGCCACCCAGCCCAGCCAGAAAGCCTTAGAATAAGAACTGCTTAGCAGCTGAAAGAGGTTGCGTTCTTTTGGTGGATCTTGCTTTGGGTTGGAAGATTTTATTCTAGTGGAACCCTCAATCCAATAAAGTGCTTGAGTATTGGGGTGAGTGAGCCTGTGGGCAGGGGGCCGACGTCTAGCATAAGCAATAAATCCAGAATTTTTGCCTTGGCGTTGGTCGTTTTATTTTCATCAAGTAGCCTCCGCTTATTCGGATTGTGTATTTGCAAGGTTGGACCCTATATTTTTATATATGTTTATTCTAGAGTACCTTGGCTACCCTCCTGAATTGCTTTATTTTTGGTGGTGCTGACGCCCCCCGTAGCATGGATCCCCAATCAAAAAAATGTGTATGTATATTATATATAACTCTAACTATCATATCATATGACTATAAATATACAATATACTACTGTAGGAATGTCTAAGATTCTTGAATTCTAATATTTTTTCAGAGAGAGAGAGGGAGAGATGGATAGAGAGAGAGGTCCCCGGCCTCGGTCCCCCCCATGAAAGGAACCCCGGGGAAACCTCCGCGACGTTTTGAGATCGCAGACTTGGCAGACTGGCCGGAGTAGACGGTACCAGGGTGCCAACGTGGGAGATGAGTCAGAAGGGCGATGGGGGGAGAGAGAGAGGTCTCAAAATGAGCATGAGCCTCCAGGTTCTTTGGTGATACGCGAGGGAAATCGCACTTGCTTGGGTCCTTTCAACCAAAAGACCCCTGCACAATGTCGACTCCCATAGGTGGAAAGCTGCTGTTCCATGGTCAGCTGGGTGAACCTGGATTGGGATGAGACGCAGGCAGGAGATGAGCGAGGAGGGTCATGTGACGGGCAACTCGGTACAACTCACTGCGTGGCGAGCAGCTGCATCCTTTTCACACCGAAGTGGCTCGATCACTCAAGTGACTCAAATACCTACCTATTTCATCCTACTTTACGTTTCAGGATGTTCATGCTAAGCTACAAATCCGGATGGTGGTGCCCAAGGCAGTCGGTGGTTCTTGCGCCTGTTCTAAACGACACATTTATTTGTTGCCCATCCCACAATGAGATGGCGCCGAGTTGTTTGAGAGGAACTGATTGTTTTTTCAACGCCCCATAAAGAATTTCCTTCAGCGTATGTAATCTGCAACCCCCCCTGCGCGAAGGAGTTTAGTTTTTGTCCCAAATAGTAAACTGTAATGATATGTCATGATACTAACATACAAAAAACGTCCCGACATGACAAGGTTCTGCATTGTTCAGACCACACAGCAGGTGCTTCACTTCACGCGCTTGTTGAACCAACGGCCCAAAGACGTCGCACGTGGCAAACGACAGCCGATCCAGCACCTAAAGCTTATCCACCTGGAAGGGGAACCATGGGTCCACGGACCTGACGCGAAATGGCAGAACTTGCGAACCTGTCACTGCTATACCATGCCCAAATATGCCCAATGCATATATAGTCATATATATATATATGTGTATTATTGTTAAATACACATATATATTATATATTGATAAGTACCACAAGCTGCAGAACATTAAGGAAAGCAAGCATACGCACAAAGAACCTATAAGAACAGTGGCGAAGCAATAATGGTTGACTGTCCACTCTTTATTCCTTTTTCACGTGGCATGTGGCTAGGAGGGTCACAGGATGTCTAAAAGATATCTCCTTGGTTATCTTGGGCGCACTCTCCTCAGAGGTTTCCAACAGTTTGCCTCGACTGCCATTGAGGCGTGCTCGCAGAGCTGTGGACTGCCACAGCAGATGCAGGAGCGTAGTGTCACTTGCCAGGCGCGTTCCGGGCGGCCCTGAGAGGATTGCTTCAAATCATGCATACATGGATGGCTGTTGGGCCGCCGCTTTCGGATGACCGACCATCATCCGAACCAGTGAGAACAGGTGGTGAACGCTTCGATGGTTATGTAAGTGGAGTGTATGTCAGACTGGCTGCAAAAAGATTTATAAGTTTCCTCTAGGGAATAATCTGTTAAAGCATTGCCTGCTGGTCTCTTGCTGTTCCTTTACTGTGTATGTCACAGCAATTGGAGAACAACACCTCCTGTGGGCGTTCGGTTCCTGAGCCACCACAGCTGCAAGAATGTGGAAGGGTGGGTACGAAGGAATATGAAGGAATATGTCTTCCCGGACTGGTCCGTAGGCAGAATCACATGGGTGAGGCGGGTGACGGGTGAGGATAGGATGCTCCATGTGCGAAGATAGGATGTTCCAATTGGATCACCGAACAGATGTGGAAGGTTTGAACAATGCCATAATGGTTTGCTATGGGTGAGGCACTGTTTTTTGGGGGTCCTTGGCTGAAAACAATGGGACTCAACATATGTCCGAAGGATCCTGAACAGAAAAGAAATTCCACTCAGGCATCACATATGATATACATGATATATATTATATATGATATATACATCATATTACTGCAGACCATTCGAGTTGTCCACGTGCTGATGGGCGCCAAGCCCCGCCCGCAGGCCATGTATAGCGGCGAAGTGGTGCTCCTTGGTTGCGGTCACGAGCGTTTTTTTCGATAGAACAACCTCTTGGTCGAGGCGATCAAGTGAAGAATCAACTGAATTAGTTGAAGTTGAATCAAAGGCGGATGGAAAAGACCTCTTCCAAAGTTTGCAGGGATGATGAAAGATGCATCATAACATGAGCACAGGATACAAGTGTCCAAAAAGTGCAGGCTTGCCCCAATGATCCTATACTAAACTACCCTACCCCCCAGTTGCACCACTGTAAATGGGCTTGGTTGGGGGACAAGCACCGGGTTCAAAGCCTGAGCGCCACAGAGGGAGCTCAGTTCCAAGCGATACGTTCCATTGGCAACAGTAAGAATTTGGCACGTTGCATTGCTTATTGTTTGTTATTGTTTGTTCAACTGCTGAAAGGACCATGAGCTGCACCCATTAGAGCAAACACAAATACAAGACATTGCCATTGGTTTGGCGTGGTCCATCTCCCAGTTCTTTTGCGGCATTGATGATCAGTCGCAACATGGTTGCAACATGGTTGGGTGACGTCTGACTGACCAAGTTGCTTCCACAAGGTCCAAGGAGCTTTGCCCCTCGGAAGCTCCAGCGGCCCAGCGTGTCCTTTGCCCCGCCACTGATCCGTGTGAGACCTGTGACGGCCACTCGCTGGCAGCGACTCCGTGAAAACCGATGCGCCGAGAAAAAACGTCGTAAAAACCGAGTAGGAGAGTTGTTGGGGTGGAAAGCAGAGCGTTTTGGGAGGGAGAAGAGGCATTCCTTTCTTAGGGGCATTTCCTTGGAATAGGCTGTAAAGATTGGGAAGCCCTGGGGCATTTCAGGAGGACATGCCTCTTTGGAAGGAAAGCTCAACACGGCCGTGATTGAACAAACATGCTGCGCTTTGTCTCCCCACAGCATGCAGCGGGCCTGTGTGGCACAGGTTTGTTTGTCAATTCTGATTTGTATATAACTCGTATGATTGCTAGCAGCTATATAGCACATAGGATTGGAGCAATTACATAGATGAACATACGGTAACTTGGGACTCATCCCCGCAACTCCTTACGATCTATCATCATATATACACCTCGAGCAGCTCGGAGGCTCCACTTCTATCGACTTGCAGGGACTGGGCTCGGATGCACTGGGCTGATGAAACCCCTCAGGCGAAAAGAAGCACCAGAGCAGAGCTCCCGACTTTCTGAGGCTTCGCCTGTGGTGATGATGCACTGCCCGTGCTTCCCCCTCCCTCATGTGAGGGCGGTACATGTGAAAGTGACATGGCTGCAAGGAACCTTTGGAAGACCCCCTTGAAGCCAACCAGAAGGCACGAGGATCATGAGGTTGAGGTTTGCCAAGTGTGACTCATTAGCCTGGAGAACAAGGAAGGAATCACGGACCTGTGTCTGCAAGAGCAAATGAAGTTACACAAATCTTTACAGCTACAGGCTACAGCCCACAGCAATCATTTGTTGTGCTTTTTGGCTCAGAAAGCAGCCCAAGACGGGCTCACACAAGCATATGGCAGATGAAGATAAAGGAAGACGAGCACTTTGGCGGATCAGCCTACCAGCCTCGTATAGAGCGATTTTTTGCATTTTTTCTCTTTGCTGAAATTCCTTCGGTGCGGTTTCACCGCAGAGTTTTGTCATCATGTTCCGATGCATGCGCGACTCCAAGCAGACCGAGAAGGCTGAGAAGCTGAATGAAGCCTGACCCAAACACGAAGAGGGTTCACGGCGGGCAACGAGGTGAAAAACGTTGAAACATGTTGTAACACCATGGAAGTGAAATTATGGGCTCCTGGGCTAAAGAATGGGGTTGTTCCACCAAGCCGTGTTTCTTTTTTTTAAACCTATTTGTTTGGCGTGAAATGTCCAGGCATGATGGCCAGATATGGCCAGTCATAATGATTTGCTCTGACTGCCATCCCGCGGAATCCTTGGAACTCACCTCAAGGACTATCCTCAAAAGATGACTCAGGAGGTCAGTGCTCGCATCACTCATCTAGCTGTTTCTTGGAATCATCGGATGAAACTAAGAACACCCACCTGGAATGATTCGCAACGGGTGTTCACCATGTGTGTCACGGAAGTCCATCGTCCGGATCCCCCACCCAGCTATCCTTTCAGCACCCAGCTATGGGTCCGACCGTGCCTGCAAGGAACGAACCGTATCCATATCCACCTCTTAAGACAGGAACCTGTGATCTTTGGATATCTTTGGACCTCCCAAATGCTAAGGCGTTATGGTCATGTTGGGTCATGTCTCTCGCATCATGACAATCTCTGATGGATGAACCACCCTCAAAACATTTTGGGGAAAGCGCGCCACAGCGCTTGAACCACCATTGTGGTACAGGTCCCTGTACTACACATTAACTATCATCATCATCATCATCATCATCATCACCATCACCACCATCATCATCATCATCATCATCATCATCATCATCATCATCATCATCATCATCATCATCCTCGTCATCATCATCATCATCATCATCATCATCACCATCATCATCATCCAGCAGCAGCAGCAGCCGCCACCCTGTCCACGAAACATCAAGAAACCCTATGCCAGGCTGTTAAAAGGATCGGCCCCACTACATAGGTGGACCTTTCTTTTTTTTTTACCATGGCACACCTGAGAGAAGAAGAACTTGAACAAGTGTCCGCCTCACCAGGATCTGGAGGCATCACACCTCCTTCGTTCCCCGCCTTTATCCACCTCCTCGCCTTCCGAGGAGGCGATCAACGAGCTGCGGGACGGCCTCAAGGCGTTAACCACCGAGCTCCGCAATGGAGCGGGGAGCTCTGGGGCCAAGTTGAAGGGGAAGTCTTCCTCGATGAACGCCAGCACCTGGGACGAGGATGGGAGTGGAGGACGGCAGCGAGACCCACCGGACAGTGAGAAATATGCTATCTATATTTCACACACACAGATATATATATATATATACATAGAGAGAGACCAACGTTCAATCACAGATGTTCACAGTGCTTTTCATGTGATGTTTTCAGGTTCGGCTGCCTGGCAGGGTGTTGATGACATTTTCTGCAATGTTCATCCTTTTCGGTGCCACCGAAGTGGCCATTGGCTGCGCCAAGGCTTCGTGTCCACGTCGATTCCCATCGGGAAGGACCTCGATGCCTGGCGAGGTCTTTTGCGACCAGAATGGCCTGCTCAACCAACAGAAGAATGTGTTTTGCATGGGTATGCGAAGTCACAGGATATCCAATCCATATTATATATATAACGGGTTTTGGATTGTGTCAAAGAAAGAGATCGCCTCACAACCATCCACAAGCCATGATTCTGGATGTTTCCGGAAAAAAACGTGACTGCCTTAAGGAAGCGGCAGGACTCACACCAGCTGCCTTCTCGGAAGCTACACCCGGGTCTCGCTTGCCTTGTTTGTCCTCGCCACCAGTGTTTCAAGTGCACTGCCATCGAGACTTGTCAATGACCTGCTGAACAAATACATGCCACCAATGCAACACAATGCTAAACTATCATATCCGAGTCATGACCCGTTTTTGTTCAGTTTTGAACTCTGAAGAGAGACTTCACAAAGTGTTTTGGCAAGGGTTATCACGCGGCCAAAGATGTTAGGATACTCATCTCGCTTTGTGACCATCAACGTAACTAACGCCCAAACAGCCCCACCGTCCGCCAGGTCCGTATTGGCGGATCCCGCCAACGAGATCGTGGCACACGTTTGGCCTCAAGTTTCACATTGGGCCACGGAGTTCCTCTTGAAGGAGGCCGCTGGGTCCATCGTGGTCCGCTGATTGGACCCGCGAGGACCGTTGGGGATGGCGAGGACCGCCCTAGGACTGAGAATGATTGTGCTTGCTCCTTTACTGAGGTGTAGATGAATGTTGTTTTTACATGTTTCTTAATGTTTTTCCCAAACAGTCAGTGTGGACACACTTATGGTGGTGGCCTTCGACCCGCTCTAATTTCGTGACAGGTGCAGTGAATCGTGACTTTTGGACATGTGAATCTTGAAGTGCAGATTTCGTGGCAGGCTCAGCACTTTGTCAACCTGGAAGTGCAGATTTCGGGGCAGCCACAGCGCTTTGTGAACCTCAAAGTGCAGATTTCGTGGCAGGCGCAGCATTTTGTGAACCTCGAAGTGCAGATATCGTGGCAGGCACAGCACCTTGTGAACCTCGAAGTGCAGATTTCGTGGCAGGCGTAGCACTTTGCCAACCTCGAAGTGCAGTTTTCGCGGCAGGCGCAGCATTTTGTGAACCTCCAAGTGCAGACAGGCGTAGCACTTTGCCAACCTTGAAGTGCAGCTTTCGTGGCAGGCGCAGCATTTTGTGAACCTCGGAGTGCAGATTGTGTGGCAAGCGCAGCACTTTTTGCTCTCAGATGGTCGCCACTCTCACTCTCACTCACTCTGACTCACTCTCACTCACACATGTCTCCACCTTCATCACCACCATCACCTCTTTGTACCCCAACGCGTCTAGATCTCTAGACCTTCAGCTGCTACACCTCTAGGCCTCACACACACTGGTTGGGGTCTCTTGCCAGTCTTGCCAGGATATTTTTTCCGGGTGTTTTTGCTGCCGATCTAGGAGGTTGAACACCTGAACAGGAAGACAAAAGCAACAACGACATAGAATGACCATGGCACACTGTAGATGAGTGGTAATTGACCCCTTTGACCATTTGAGATTGAAACCAACAACATTTCCAGTAGAAAAGGCAAAACAGCAGAACCAAGCCGCTCACTTGAACTCTTGAGCCTAAGAAGGATCTTCCAAGTTTCGCCATGCCTGTTCCACCTCGTCCATCCGAGTTTCGACACCCACGTCCTGCCCTGCGCTGCAGAGTCCCAGTCGCCAGGTAGGCCCGGCCATCCACAGCGCCTTACCGGAGAGTCTCAGTGGCGGCATCGATCCCGACCGATGCCACCTGGGCCATGAAGCCGTGAAGTTCTCCAGCATCAAGATCTTCGAGCCCTGGCAGAGAAACACGCGACAAAGGCAGCGAAAAAACGGGATTTCTGGTTGGGAGGGATGTGAAACAGCTAACCTGGAACAGGAAGGGTACCACATAGTTAACACACATACTCATTTTCGAGAAGGGCCTTCTTCAAGCTCTGTATGTATATATGTATAGTTACTTATATAGTTATAATTAGTTATATAAATAAATAAATATATAAATAAATAAATATAAAAAAAATATATTAATGCCTCGAAAGGTGTGTGAACACTTTTTTGTGCGAAGGCCGTCTTTGGACATAATTTTTCGTATGGGCACTTTAATTAACGAATTAACGTATTTTGCTGCATGGAAAAAACATTACCGTACGAAAGCGTACCCATATGAAACCCAAACTTTATCAAGGTTTTATTGACAAAACCAAAACATATTGATAAAACCCAATCAAACCCAATATTCGGAGGAATTCCAGCCGTATTTGTCCATTTGACAAAAAAAGGCCGGATCCACGGATTTTTTTGTGCGAACGTGTTTGAACAAAAAAACAAACACATTTGGATTCCCTGGCCACGAGGGTAGCACCCAGAGGCAGTTTAAAATGTTAAATCAAGCGTTCCTTGCGAGAGCCCCACCTTGGGTCATGGTATTGGTGTGTATTTCGATAGGGAGGCCCCCTGGCCCTGGCAGGGTAAGTCTATCATCCTGGGATGCCAGGAGGTGGAACTGGGGGGCCTCCCTACTCTATCCAAAGCATCTCCAATAAGCAATATTTGTCACAAAAAGTGCAACATCGCATGTGGGACGAGGGGTGGATAGAGCCGATCTTGGAGCAAAAGGTTGAGGTTAGCCACATCCGTCCTCAAGCGAAGCAAGTTGAAGGTTTGGACGGCGCACCCTTAGATCATCATCATTGAGGTTTTCAACAACTGCCTGAGAGGTGCATAGTGGCATAGTAGACACCGTGTGCTTCATGTTTGCGTTTTCATATTAATTTCATATGCTATTTAAGTTTGGAAGATGATATTGTCCTGCGTTGTTTTTGTGTTTCCACGGCTTGCCATTTTGCACTTGCGTTTGCCAGTGCCGAGCGGCCAAGCATGACCATCAAAGGGCGAGGGTTTCGAGCGCCTCGAGTGTAGACTTTGATCTAAAGGCCAAGTTTGGGAGAGGTTTTCAGATTTCTTCGGGAGTGGATCAGGGTTCAGATATGTTCACACCGCATTTTTGACACCCCCATAAGTTAAGTTATGGAACATCCGGCCCAGTGGAAAACCCTCCGCCTCCCCCCAATGTGTTTTTCTATGTTTTTC